ATTTTTGCTCTGAAAAATGCGCTAGGTCTTATTTTTAGGGAATGTCTTATTTTTTCCAGGAAGAAGAATTCACATTTATTATTGAACAAAAAAATTCCCAAGTCGAACTTAGACGAGAGTGACGTATATCCGATGTGTCGAACTGTCGCCTTTTTATAGCGTCGATGACCAATTAGTGCTTACTGAACCGTAGCACTATGCAAAGGTCATGTGGGGTCACCAATTAGCCATCACCAGCCGTAACGTTATGCAAATCTGTGATTCCCAAGCCATAGTCTTATGCAAATCAAGCCGTGTGGCGTAATTGTCTGCTGACCAATCAGTGGCTATACTTTCAAAAAGCCAACGGCCACTTTCAACCATCTGTCGATGACCGTTACGACTAAAAAAGAACTTCGCTAGGTCTTACTTTCAGGGGGAGATCTTATATTTCGCAATTCAGCAAAATCTGTGCTAGGTCTTATTTTCTGCGGATGTCTTATTTTCGGGGAAACACGGTATTTAGGCGTTACAGACGTGGAGAAAACCCGGAAAACTCCACGCGGCCAGCCTGTCCGAGCGAGGCGCGAACTCACGACCGAATTCCCAGTGTTCAGGGTACGAAGACCGCTAGGGAGGGAGGCTATAAATTTTCCACTTTGTTCCAGATCTTGAAGATTATGGAGAAAGGCTATAAACTTATAGCCTCCCTCCATAATCTTCAAGATCTGGAACAAACTGAGCAAAACGTTCAGAAATGTCACTGTCAAGTAACACGACGCTGATGGTATAAGATTCTCTTAATAGACCCCAGTTTTATAATTTCTTTGACCTTTGTCAATGAGATATATATGCCGTTTACGTATTCAATATTTTAAATAATTTATATTTAAACCTTGTGCAAGAAATGAGTAATAAATAAATTGACAATATACTGTATATACTGTAGAAATTTAATTTTCAGTAAAACAATTGTTCTGAATTACCCTATAGAGTATAGACCACTAAAATATCACCATGAACCCCAATTCGGAATTTTTTCAGTGGACCCCCGGTAATGTTACATGGACCCCAGTTGAACCCTTGGTCTAGAGGGTCGACGGTTTTAAAAGTTTTTGGTAAAGGTGTCTGCGGCCGAAAAAATTTGGGAACTCTTGTCTATATGTATAAAAATGAATGTATGTGTGTCTGTGTGTGTGTGTGTCCTTCATGCATTGCCACACCGTTTATCCGATTGCAGTGAAACTTTGGAAGTTATTTAATATACTCTGGCGAAGGTTTGTGGCATAGTACGATTGCCATAAAACTTTGGAAAGTTTTTTTAATACACTCCCGCGAAGTACATTTATCCTACGATAGATGGCGCGCGTTTACACGAGCATTCGCGCACAGTGTGTCCGATCGATTTCAAATTGTGAAGACCATTTCCCCCCTTAAAAAAAATATCTCTATATATGCATTTGTGAACTGTTATTTACGATATTTATAATAATTTTTGTTTAATCACTTTATTTCAACTTTTTTTTTTTTGCTAATTATGTATTCGCTCGAGCTTCGTTAAAACCTTAACTGTACCCCGAACAACAACCGAAGTTGTAGGAAGAAATTCGCGTATTTTACCGATCTAGGTATCCCCCCTTTTCCAAATTTTAATATCGACTCAAAATAATTTAAAAAGACAAATTACAATAAAACGGTTTATTATCCAACTCTCAGAAATTTCACAACGTGCCAAGGAAGAAAGGAAGGAGCAATTAAATAATGAAAATTATAAAGGATTTAAAAATATATATAAAAATGGGGAATATCGCACTTCTGACAATCGCAGCGAGTGTGTGAGCTAAATTTGGAAAATCCGTGCTTCTCGCATGGACAACTGTATGTGGCCGGCTCACGCGTCGAAAAACCTTCCGATTTATTCGTGTACACACCAGAGGGAAAAACAAAAAATATCGTGTATCCACAAACACTCCAATAAATAAATAGAATTGAAACGACACTTTGAAATGTTTTTCCCATGAAAATGAATAATAATAATAAGTTTCAATAAAAATAATAAAATGTAAATTGAATTTTATCATAACGAGTTTGCTTGAATTTCCTTTCTTCTGAGATCGCAGCAATGCGCGACGGATAAGCTAGTGTTAAATAATAAAAACTAAATACGTAAGAATTTAAACGCTTGTTCGATGACTGTTGTTGTTGATCTTAATCCAAAATTTAAATACTTTTGCATTCTAGTTAAATCTTTATAGTTAAACGTACTGTCAATGTTCCTTGGCGTAAGGAACATTGTTAAAAGAGTACGTTTACATCTATTAACATTAAATAACTCGTCGAACAGTGAGATTGTAGCCAACTTTACAAAAGCCTTGTTGTTTCTCATCGCTGTACCATTTGGTGTTGTAAAATTATTTCAGTAGACCTTTATAACGCGGGTTCCTATAACGGGGATTCCTATAACGCGGCTAAAAAATTGCGACAATATTCGTATAAAGACGCTAAAAGGGACGCGTAAAACGTCATCGCGGACGAGCAGCCGAACTACTTTCCGCCGTCCAGCGTCACGCTACGGAGAGTTTAGGAGGGTAAATTGAGTTTACTATCGTCTGTACAGTATTATATATAAATTAGGTACCGTACATATAATTATATATAAATTAGGTACTGTATATATAATGTGAGGACCCAACCGAGGTCCGAATCATGTAAATCGCGATATTCCTATGTTTAAATAATAACGATAGATTAAATATGAGAGGGGGAGGAAAATCCCATAATTTAAACAACGCGGCACAAAATGTAGACAACGAGTCTCGGATGACTCCAACACGTGTTAAACGAACTGTCAATGTCAGAATGAAAAGTTATAAGTCAGAGACAAGTGGTCATATGCAGGTAGAACTTTGACCCCAGCACTCATAAACAGTCAATCTAGGGAAACAATTTCTGAAAAGAGGGAAAGATTTAAGAGAGATAAATCATTGCATATGATCGTTCGAGTACCCAGATGACAGAAATCGCGAGTTGCGGAGTTAAATTATGAGCGCGAATCTTGCAATTTTGTCAACAATCCCCAAAAACAATCGACAGAAAGGCGGCGAGCAGACACCTGGAATCGGACCTTTCCCGTGACCCGAGTCGGTCTCGGTCTTCCCCAAAACAAAAGAGAGACCAATCGGGAAGGGAGGAAGGGGACGAGGGGCCAATCAGAAGTCCGAATAGTGGGAGAAAAAACTATAAAAATCCGAAAATCAAGGTCGGGGGGTCTCCTCCGTAGTCCACAAAAGGTCGTGATTTAAATTGTCGTGTGTCGTTGCCAAGAACTTTGGACTCCACCGCTTCCTCCTTCCGATCGTCCGCCTTGCTCAGTGACCTCATCTCGTCCGCCCCGGGGCCAGACAGACGCCGAAGTCCTCGCCTCTCCGAATCTTCGACGAGAAGAACCCTAATGAAGGACTGTCGATGTAAGCATAAATGTTAACAAATAAACAGCTTTCTTGTGTAAAACACTTGTCATCATTTGCCTCCTCCGTCACAGCCCACATACAACCTTCTCTTAGGTTCATCCTGACGCGGGATTAATAGATCCCACCTAGGAGACGGCAACCTTACAGAAGTGCCGTGAAATGGGTTTCAAGTCCTCTATCTCCACCGGGTCGGCTACCTTACACCTAACTTTAAAGATGTTTATGCGTGCAAAAGTTTTAGATTTCGAATAACGATAAAGAAACTAAACGAATGCGCTTTAATTAGAATAAATGTAAAAAAGACAGATGATAAATCGAAATCGTATGATACGTTATGTGCATGGGCATAGCGAGGGGGCCTGGGTGGGCAACGCCCCCCCAGTTAACCTGGTGCCCACCCCAGAAAATCACAGCCGAAAAAGTGTTGAGCCGATTTGCAAAATGAAATAAAAGATTGAAGCTGAAAATTCTGAATCCTAAAAAAAAATAAAATAAAAGGTCAACGGCTCTCTGTACCCAATGTTATGATTATGAATTTTCATTGTAATGAATAATAATTTGAAATAATTCAATTTTGTGTCAGGTTGGCCTCTACTAGGCCCCCATAACAAAACTCTGGCTANAAAAAAAATAAAAAAAAAAAAAAAAAAAAAAAAAATCAACGGCCCCCTGTGCCCAATTTTATGATTAAAGGAAGCTTCATATTTTATGTGTTAAGTTATTGTCGATTCTTATGGAATTTTCATTTTAATGAACAATAATTTGAAATAATTCAATTTTGTGTCAGATTGGCCTGTACTAGGCCCCCATAACAAAACTCTGGCTATGCCCATGGTTATGTGCCAGATGAATTCTCTTTACGTGCCACAGGTTCGCTACCCCTGGTCTAGACCCTTGTAGCAGAAGGCAACATACCGCTCTGAATCGAACGGGCCGGAAAACTTCAGGAATTTTTCGAGAGATGGTCCGTCCGGGTATGTCGGATCCTTATTTCACCACACCGGCTGCCTCATTACGGGTTCGGGCCAGGCCCATAGGGCGGGAAGACTGAAAAAAAGCCCACATATAAGCAAATATTATTTTTAAGAAATTCAATTAATCCAAGTTTTTTAAAAACAGTTTGAGCAGAATTTTTGAATTAAAAAAAGTGCGAAATTGAGTATTTTTGTGTTTCAGCTGGTCTATGATTAATTCGATACAGCGTATACGTTTCCTGATTCTGATTAAGATAGTCATAATTAATAAATCCGACTAATTTATACCGAAATAATTTTAATTATTATTATTATTTTTTTATTAAATTTAAGCAAAATACGAGCCGACCAAAGTAATAACGACGTGAAAAATTTCTCAATATCGTGTTAAAATGAATAAATAATTGCAAAATAAAATTTAGTTTTATTAAAAACCTTATTAAAAATATAGTAAACAATGTTTATTGCTTCATACAAACCTTCAATTAATTTCATACATAGCAATTAATTTTTCATAAAATCTTGATTAGAAAGCGCAAAGAATGTCAGATAAATAAAACTTAATCTACATATATGTTTCATAATTTTCTAAAATTATAATCGAAGGTAAACGTATGATATAATTTCATTATAAGGAGAAATATTCATGATTTCCTGTTACGCTTCCTGTAAAATGGCGGCCGTTATCAGTTGGAGTTGCCGAATGTAGAATTTTGTAGGATATATCTGTTGTCCCTGTGTAAAATTATTTATTTCATGCGATACATTCCAAGAAGATTCATTAAGTCAAGTTTTATATGTAATTGAAATCATTTTTTCCCTTTATAAACAGGTGAGAAATTGATTAATTTTGATATACGGTATTTAAAACGTGTTTTTGGGTTAACTTGTTAAGAGTTTGTGTGTGTAATAGTAAGGGAAATATCGTTTTTAATTGAGTTTCAACAGGAATTGAGTTTATAAATTAACTTTCATTTTAATATCTGACAATATATCCGTGTTAATCATAAACGGTTATAAATTATATTGCAGTTTTATTGTTACGCGTGGAAATTTATCTGTGTTAAATTGTATTTCTTATCCATTTTTAGCAGATTTGAGATTTTTAAAAAAACTTTTTGAGTGTATACATCTTAAATATTCGAGCTGTATAATTAAGATTTGTTAGGTTATAATTTATAACGGTATAAGCTTATTTCCGTTCTTTATTGGTTAGGAAAATAATCAGAAAAATTATTTTTGTAAATTTATAATATAAATTAGTCAAGTTTTTCACATTTTTGCAATTTATTCTGGTTTTTAGAAACAAACTGTTTTGGGAAATGAACAAAAATGTAGATTAATCTCTGAAATAATTTTTGAATTNCAACAACAGATCCGTCACTTGGAACTTTCGGGAGAAGAAGCCGTCGCATCCTCGAATTTCCGGGGTTTTATCTGTTTTCTTTCAGATTCCCCTTTCCGATTGGTCTCTCCTCGTCACCTGATGACAATTCGAAACCTTTCGAGGGCGCGGGAGAGGTCAAAATCGAAGTTTAATTTGATCTCCCACCGGAAATGATCGACGGACTTACATTCTTCTATTGTTTAAAAGTCTTCTATTGTCTAGCGTCGCGTTTTCATATCATAAAAATCTATTTCTAACTAATATATTTTTTTTCTAAAACAATTATTTTCTGCGAATTTTAGTGAGGGTTCGGACCTGTCCAGAGCCTCACAGAGCTCCCCGCCATTTTAAAATGTAACGGAATAACGACATTTTAGCTGGCAGCTCTGGTAGTTGTCAGTCCCTTCTCCCTTTGTTTGCCAAGTGAGGTAACAGTGACACTTGCCTGAGAACTATTTTTCTCTGGCACGCGTTCGGTTTCGTGTTACAAAGTTCTTTTTTTCGATACATTATTTCAGAGGTATAGAAATCGTTTACAATTCATCGAAATGTTCGCGTAACATCACGTCTGTTTATAAGATTGATTACAACCACTCAAATAACAATCACGGTCATCGAATAACATTTTAACAACTTAAAAGCTCGACAAATATTTTCTAAAACTTGTTTTTTTTTTCGTTTTTAGACTGAGCAATTCACATAATTCATAAATAATTCACAAAATTCTATTAAAGCCTAAAAGAGGGACAACCTTTTATCTGTCACGCTTAGAAAATGCACGTAAAAGTTTCCTTAGGTGCCGTCACTTCCGGTACATGGAGTGTTGACCTAACTTCGAGTTACGTACTTTTGTTGCTGGCGCTATCTCCTTGTTCAAAATTCCAGGGAAAATTTGATGAAGTATTTTTCCGATTATTTGAATCAACTCGATATCTGAGTGTCGGTTCTTTGAACAAGTAACAACTTTGTCATCTCTTGGATGCAGTCAGTCACAAATCAAGGTCACTGTTCTAAGTCTACGATTCCCAGAATCGATTTGTTGATTAAAAATTAATTCGGAATTCGGAAGTGATTTCGGACTGTTATCAATTGAACAAGTGACAGTTTTCTGTCATTGGTTTTCTTCCAAAGCAGATTACCGCAAATCAAGGTCCTCATTCAACTTCATGTTTTGTTTTACTTCCATTCTATACTCCGCTTCACAATGGTGCATTTAAGCCAGTTTTTGGTTGTGACTGATATAATTATTTTTTCATATAAATTTTTGGATGAGGGAAATTTTCCTAAAATTTGAACCATATGAATTACTCTATCTTTAACCAACGTTCGTCACAGGAAAACTCGATCGCGACAATTCTGTTTTTCTTTCAAAACGCGAGTTTTCTTACCATAACAAAATACTGTTTCAATAATACAAGTACAAGCAATATTCTGCAACGAATTACAATCAAAATTTTCGTTTAAACACAATCGGATCACATGTTTCTTCATGGTGATCATCTCATGTCGGAACTTTTTCTGGGAAATACCATTGACAAATTCCAATTCGCGACAAACATATATCCTGTCGATTAATGCAGGTTCAAACCAAATTACATATTTACTTCTAAACAAAATTTTCACCGAAGAACACATTGTTCTGTCCTTATTATCGGGTTGTATCATCCGTTATCTACAATCAAGTAACATTGACATTATCAATTCACGACAAATAATTTGTATTACTTTTCTTATTTCGAAACATTTTCATTTAAGGTGACCTCTGTTCTCTTTAACAAAAGAGAAAGAGCTCTCCTTTTACAGTTTATACTTTATTTGATCCGAGTTGGCAGCAATAATCTGTTTCGACCTTCGGTTTGGGGAAATGACGTAGTTACGTCGTAAACAGTGTCATCTTAGGTTCTGTCTTCCGAAGGGAACCTTATGCTACTACTCTTTGGACTTTATGATTTTTTTGTTCTCACTTTCCTCTTTTTTTTTCACTCGCGTGCAATTATATACCTCTTATTATTTAAAAGATCACGTTTCGTCGCGCTGTATTATTCTTAAATTTTAAAGTCGTTTGTGTTTTCCTTTTTCTGTTAATCTCACAGAAGGGTGCAAAATTTTCGCTCCTACAATCACCAAAAAAGCCAGTGATTTCATGCGGATTATTTGAGTTTTAATGCGCGTTTCTACTTTCCTATTTTCACAAAATATAACAGCTACTTTATAATTTCTTCTCGCTGTTTCTACAAAGTCTTCTATTCATTTCTTCTAATTAAAATATTCGCTCGCTCGCTTTTAAAACGGATCAGACTCACAGAATAGCGCAAAAAAGTGATTCTCTGCTTCCTCGTATGGATACTCATAAGCAAGTGTTTCGCGCCAATTATAACTTTTTTTTTTCTACATCGCATAATCCTTTTTCTGGATTTACAGAATTTATTCTATATTTCTATTAGTCCGTCTATTTTTACGGATTATTCGATATATTTTCTAAAATTATCTTATCAATTTTTTTCTCAAATTCTTATATAATTCTACTTATTCTAATTTTTGCGAATTCGCATATATATTTTTCTATAAACTGTTCTATTCGTATAAGTTTATATGTATCTCTACTATTTTGTAAGAGATCGCTTTGGCAGAACAATTGTTTGCTTAGCTAAATTGCCAAAACAAAACTGAGAACTCGATTAGATAATTGATTATCCTAATCTGCCATTCTCCTGCCGCAAATTAAAACTATGCATGCAAATTTTTTTTTCTACGCCTATGCTTCTATTCTAGGTTTATTTTATCTCTCTAAATCTATGTTTCTAAATCTATATCGAAATCTAAATTGCTCATCGGTCGTTTGCGTCCACGACGTTCGATGATCTAATTCTAACGCGTTTGATCAGCAGCACGCCCAATCTCCTAGGGAAATTGTCCATTTCTCCAAAGGTCAAAGAACACGAGTGGGCTGCCACTTAAATTACATAATCACGACGAAGCATCAGTCTCTGTCTTCATTGTTCGTGCTCCCTGAGCTCCAAAAATGAATTTTGGCCTCAGCTTCCTCACCAAGTAGGGAGTGCGGATGATGAGGTATGGGGCAACCTCATCTTCCTCAAAACATCCCACTTCTGACACCAATGTGGGGCCGAGGGGGGGGGAGAAATTTAAAAAACTTTCAAGGAACGATAATATGTGATATGTATCGTCATCGTCTCCCTTGCCATTTGGATTGCCGAGCGGTAACAATCAATGACATTTGGAAGCAGTTGAGTCAGAGATAGATGCTTCGTTTACAAACAACACAACCGTTTATTAAACACGAAAGAAGCTTACAAGATTACTGTGATCTTGGAAGTTCTGCGGCGGCTGCGGCCTCTGGGGCTTCCTCTCCTTTCCAAGATAGTCCCATTTTGAAGGAGTGTCCCTTGTTCGCGAATGAACCATTCCATCACGTCTCGACGACTCCGGGACGATGCGGTCGACTTCCGTTGATGGAAAGATGTCGATCCGAGGTCGGGAGATGGAGACGAAGATAGGTGCGAGACACACACAACAACAGATCCGTCACTTGGAACTTTCGGGTGAAGAAGCCGTCGCGTCCTCGAATTTCCGGGGTTTTATCTGTTTTCTCTCAGATTCCCCTTTCTGATTGGTCTCTCCTCATCACCTGATGACAATTCGAAACCTTTCGAGGGCGCGGGAGAGGTCAAAAGCGAAGTTTAATTTGATCTCCCACCGGAAATGATCGACGGACTTACATTCTTCTATTGTTTAAAAGTCTTCTATTGTCTAGTGTCGCGTTTTCATATCATAAAAATCTATTTTTAACTAATATATTTTTTTTCTAAAACAATTATTTTCCGCGAATTTTAGTGAGGGTTCGGACCTGTCCAGAGCCTCACATATACATTCCCACTGTTGTCCATCTGTCTTTCCTTAATGTCAAGAACGAAGTTAGATAGATAAAAAACAAGACCAGATCTGGAAACCTTAGGATCAGGAGGCTTCAATTAACTATATAAGAACATCCAATGCAAACCAGAAGTCATGTTATTTCACTAATTTGAGGCGGGGAGCATATATTTTAAATTAAATAAATTAAAAATATGAATAAAATTGCAGCTTGGCATTGTGATGATGTCACAATAAATAATTGCTTGTTTACAATAAAATTCCATTAACCTGGAATCTGGCATGCCGGCAAACCTAATAAACTGGCATATCTAGCTTGTCATTGGGGGTTATTAATACAATGTTCTTTACCATCATCATTCACAACTTCTGATATAAACATTATGGAAACCAAGGAAGACTGAAGTGGCATTATGGTGTGCTGGTAAAACCAGTTAGCTTGTGAATTTTTTAAAGACATTAGTGCATGGGTTTGATATGAGAAGCAGAAATATTTAGCACACTTGGAATCAATAATTATCACAGAAACAGCTATAGTATATTACTGTTCA